GGTCACATGATATCTGCAGGTAAATCAATGCCAGAGAACTTTTCTTGTTCTGGAAATTTATGGCTACACAAATATGGTGTATCCATATTCTTTTGAAACATCATTAGTGCACTATGCAATGGCACATGCAGTAAGAAAATAAAATGTTAAGCATTAGCAATTTTCCCCACCAGGCTCTTGACACAATCTCACTTCAGTCATATTAACGTGAAGGAACAGCACAAACTGTGCTAGTTGTTTGGTCCAAAGGTTATCAAACAAGCATGAGACTTGCAGAAACACAATAGGGACAGCTGGCTGGAGACTCACCATTAACAAGAGATATTGGGTGAACTACTAGTGCCCTGTAGATGAGGTCAGAGTGATCCCATTTGGTTTTTTAATCTAATAGTCTGGCACTGGTATTAGTTTGACATTCAAAGGCCAGGTCATGGTTGATCATTTGAGCAGATATTTATAAAGAAACACCTTAGCTTTCTCATTAGGCACCTCTGCTTAGATGTCAACTTCACCTCAACTGGTTCTCTTGGCTTTTGAAAACTACTGATGAGGTTTTAAATATGAGTCTGGGCTGTACCATCTCACATGACATGTAGGCACTCTTGAATGCAAGCAGGGATCAGCCCTTGTATAAAGTGATTAGAAGGAGTAGGTAGCTGGATCATGCTTGCAGCATGCTTTCTCTTTACCTTCATCTCCTCTATGGACTCAAGCCTTTTGCTTCCTTTTTACCTGTTGAGGTCACTTCTCCCTTCTTCAAGATTAATTAGTCTCTTTATTCCCTTTGTTTGGGAAGGGAGAAGCCATTGGGCTCCAATGATGGTTGCTAGCTTACCCCATGTACGAGAGTCAGTCTTTAGGGACTTCTTTTGTCTATCTTCTTTCCTATCCCAAGATGTGTTTCCTAAACTAGAAAGATACGTTTTTCCTTTTTATTTTTCAAGAGCATTCTGCGTCATTATTCCAGTTTTTGGAGCAATTATTGCATAAACTTATATTGCATTGTCTCTGCTATGATCTGCTTAATCCCTGTATCAAATATTCCTATCGGCACCTGTTCATATAATGAAATGCTTTCCTTACAAGAAAGGATATTTTTTAAAAAAACAAAACAATACAAAACACACGCTTACATATAGAACTACATAGTGGAGAATGGGATTCTAATCTAGTCTACTCCACAAATTAGCTTTTATGTAGAGAATTTTTTTCTGTTGATGGAGGAGCATTTAGTCAAGTCATATTTTACTTGCCGACTAAAATGGAACAACCTGGGGATAGTTAACTTTATAGGAACTAGGCCATCATATCAGCAGCAAGGACTGCAGATACAAGTTTATTGTATTCAGAACTGTTAAGGGTACACTGCTGTGCACTGTTGGGGTGTAAGAGTGCCCTGCATTGAGTCCCAAGGTACTCCACATTGAAGTAGATTTGTGACACTACAGTGTCTTTACAAATATTACCAGTATTTCCTACAAGAGAAAGGAAGAGTCAATAACAGATCTGTAATGAAAAATGTAGGGACATGGGTAGAATTTTTAATGGAAGGATAAGAATCGTGTGGCCTTCCAGATGCTTTTTGACTGCAAATTCCAACAACTCTAGCCAATATATGTAATAGTAAGAAATGCTAGAAATTGCAGTCCAACAATATCTGGAAGGCCCAGGGATGTAGTTCTTTGCTAAATTTCTTCTTGAAGGAAGCAATGAATAATTTTAGTAATTTTCTTCTCATTGCGAGAACTGCTGTTTTTATACATTATGCTAAAAATGTGTTTTCTGCATAAAAGTACCATGTCTGAAGTTCTGAAATGTGAAGATTCTTGTCAATCCAGAATTCTTCATGTCAGGGTTACTTGACACACAAGAAACACCCAAGAAACATTTTTTTAAGACCATTTAAAATATTTTCAACATTCTTCTTATACCTAGAAGGAATGTAAGAAACCAAGGCAGTCTTCACTCTGGGCTACTAAAACCTAGACAGCCTTTGATGTTTTACTACCTGTGCTACCAGTGCTCTGGGCCTTTAACCAGCCACCCAGACCAAACTAAATATGGCAAAGAACCAGCATGGCATAGTGGTTTGAGCATTGGACTATAACTCTGGAAATAAGGGTTTGAATATACTTGGTCTGGTGACTTTGGGCAAGTCATGTCCTCACAGCCTTGGAGAAAGGTAAAGACAAAGGTCTTTGTACAAACCTTGCCAAGGAAACCTTGTGATAGGTCTGCCTTAGGGTTGCTATAAGTTGGAAATGACTTGAAGGCACACAACAGCAACAACAAAAACCCCTCAGATGGGGCAGGAGAGATGCAGCGCACTTTAGCCAGGAAGCAGTGACATTAAGCAGTGTTGCCAGACTCTGAAGTCTAAGAGCATATGGATGGGGATGTTAAGGGATCATTCACACATCCACCACAAAATGGTTTCCCATTTCTGTTCTGGGGTACTGCATAAGCCTCTGAGATGTCATCTGATACACAATTTCAAGGAGATGGTGTGAAGTGCACTTTTTCTTTCCTTTCATTTGTGGCCACACCATGGTTTAGTAGCATGGATATTCACTCACACTGTAGACAACTGTTTCATAAAGTAACAACAAAGCTTTATTTACAATACAAGTAAAAAAGGGCCTGAACAGACTGACAGAAATAATCCAGCTTGAGTCCACTTTAACTGCCCTGGCTCAGTGCCAGGGAATCATGGGAACTGTAGTTAGCCAGACTGGTCTCCAGTACATCTAGGAGAGACCATATATCACCTGTCTTGAAAAGACTCCACTGGCTGCCGATCAGTTTCTGGGCTCAATACAAGGTGTTGGCTATTACCTTTAAAGCCCTAAATGGCTTGGATCCATCCTATCTTTGGGACCACCTCCTTCCATACAATCCAACGCACACACTTCAGTCCTATGGGAGGAATTTGTTTCAGCTTGTTAAAATTAGGCTATCTGCAACTTCCCAGAGGGCCTTCTCAGCAACCGCTCCCAGGTTATGGAATGGCCTGCCGAACGAGATCCATCAGATTGCATCTTTAAAAAAGCTGTAAAGACGGATCTCTTCTGGCAGGCCTTTCCTGATTAGTTTCTTCCCAGCCTAATGAGCGAGCCCACCCTATCCCTGCCCTCTACCACATCATAGCTGCTGTCTGCCTGTTATCATGACTCTGTAATTGTTATGGTTGACTGTTTTTTAATTGTTTTAAAATGTTTGATGTTTAATTCTATTTTAAGGGGTGGGTGGGTTTTTTTTTATTGTGTACTGTGGTATTTTATTCTTGTAAGCTAGCCTGATTGCTTCGGCAGAGGAGCGGGATAGAAATAAATTATTATTATTATTATTATTATTATTATTATTATTATTATTATTATTATTATTTTATTGTGGCACCAGACCTTTCTGACAGAGAAGGTGCAATGTCTGAGAAACAAACTAAAGTCTCCATGATTCTCTAGCACTGAGCCAGGACAGTTAAAGTGGTCTCAAGCTGCCTTATTTCTGGCAGGTCTGTTCAGGACCAATGTTTCACTTGGTCTTGCTGCACTTGTTATAATTGGTTATAGTTACATATAATAATACTCTAGAACACTCCTTTCCTTGAAATACTTTCAATTACCCCCACAGGACACTCTTACCCCTTCTTTGGGTACCTTTACCACTATTTCTTAACCAGCCTCTAAGGCTATCAACATCCCTCAGGATGTTTTCTTTATTAACTCTCTCACTTGGAGTTTAGTATGGGCATTAGGCCTCTCTCTTCCGGACCTTAACCCTGTACCACTCTGGAACCTTCTCCACCAGATCCTCACTGTCTGGAATTCAAACCCTGTCTGACTTCCAACTGTTGACTTCCATCCTATCTGATTTCATCTCCAGTCTTTGATACTCTCCCCCTGCTCCTCATACCTAGTATCTGTTCTCCACAGCCAGTTGAAGACCACAATGTCTGGCTATGGTCCATGTGTCCCTGCATCCCATGTCAGACAAGATACTATAAAGGTCTTTTGCAAACTAGGTCTCAAGCCTAACAGGTTAGCTTTTTCTGCATGATCCTTCCCCTAGTTAATAGTTATTTAGTATGAGATTTTCACTGGGAATGTGGCAGCGGTTAAGCTTCCCCTCCCCATGTGATGCCACAAATTTGTTGAGATGACAGATAAGCTTTGACCAAGCCAAAAATAAATAAATAAATAAATGTTCTAAAGCTTATGACCAAAAGTTCAGATTATATTTTATGTCCTTAAGAAGAGATTGCCAGTTCCACAGCTGTCACAGTATTCAGATCCTTGCCACGGTCAGGTGCTTGGCAGGGTCAATGTATCCTCTAAATGCTTTAAAAAATACTTTAACTTGACCAGAAAGTTAAACATAATTGACAAAGCAATTGCCTTGCTAGTTCATAAGTTACACCAGAAAGTGTTTTCTTGGTGCCTAATCTTTCTTCAGATCTGCTTTTCTTGGAAGGAATAAGCCACTAATATAGCCAGATTGTTTGTTTTGGATATTTACCCTCTATGATCTTTATTTACCTAAAGGCTTGTGCCATAGAAACCTGCCCTAGCAACAGGGAATCAGAGTAGTAAAAGGACAAAGAGAGTATTAAAAGTCAGTCCTGTCATCTCTATGAAAGTTTAACTGATTAGCATGTTACTGTTATAGTTTTTACAACAGGAGAAATACTGTGGAACATCAATATTCACAGTGCTTTCATCTCTTGGTCTATTAAAAAAATATTAAGCTTCCATCTGTTTGTATGTTACTGCATTACATGAGAATGGCTGGATGGATTTACACCAAACTTTGAGGGTATGTTTAGGATGACCTGATTTTAATTATAGGCTGTGTGGCATGTATGACATTCACTTTGGGAGACCCTAGTTGTTATTGTTGTTGTATGCCTTCAAGTCATTTCTGGGAACGTATCATAGGATTTTCTTGGCAAGATTTGTTCAGAGGAGGTTTGCCATTGCCTTTCCCTGGCTGAGACTAGCGGGTTTCATGATGAGCTGGGAATTGAACCCTGGTCTCCAGAATCATAGTCCAACACTCAAACCACTACACCATGATGTACATTAAAATCAGACCTGCTAAGGTCATTTTGGCTGACTTTTTTCAAGGACTCAGGAGTGGAAGTGGAGAGTTACTGGTTGTCCAGGAATGGGTCACATTGGATCTCTCCAAAGGACTGAATGGACCAAAACACATAGAACTTTTCAAGGCAGCATTTCCAGAGGCTGAAACAACCACCAGAAAAACATCCTAGAGATTTCCTGTGTTAGCACCAGCACTAGGACTAGATCTAGAGGGTAGGCAGAGCAAGCACCCCAGATTAGTATTTTCTTCAATAGAATGCCCCCACCATGCCGAACGCTTGTGGCTATTTGCAGGAAGATAATTGTCCCATATAACCAAGAACAGACTCATATGCTGGAAATGTAAATAAATCTGTGCGATCTTAAGCAATGTTTACTAAGTTCCTTAACATTCAATACAATTTTTCCTCAGAGAAAATATATTGAGGATGAAAGTGCTAAAGTGAAATATTCTGTTATCTTTCTTTCAGAAATTTAACATGGGACCAAGCTTGGGTCCCTAAAACTATTTGCCCATGCTTTGAAATGTCCACACCAACTGTGTATGTGGAGGAATCATGTTTGCCCTACAAGGGAGACCCAGCACTTGGTTGCCCAGTCCCACTGAGTTCCCCATGGCTGTGTTTGACAAAGCTTGCAAAGCTTGAGATTCTCATACATGACAAGACTTCCCAGGAGATCATGTGCCAAATCTCACACTGCCATGGAATTTCACATGGTCTCAGTGTGCCTTAAATAGGAGCATATTTGGTGTTTAAACTAGCAGAATGCAGTGGGCTGGTGCTCTTAGCTTATGGCTATAAAACAAAAATAAGCACCCTGAATGTCCACAGTAATATAAAAGCATTAGATTTACTTTTGTTATTTCAGGAAATTAATTCAAAAGGAGGACAAAGAGGGGAATAAAAGAGCCTACACCTAGTTACAGAAGCTGCTAAAACTAGTTTCAATGTGTGAATACATTCTGGCAGCCATGTGCTGACTCTCTTTCTCATTAGAAGAAGAAGCTGCAAGAAGCAACCTCATTAAAAGGACCTAGAATGTATGAATATGGTTAAGACAAGAAGAGAAAATACCAGTGGCCAGTTTTCCCTTCTCCACTGGTTCAGATTACTTAGGACAGCAAATTTGGTCCTCCAGATGTTCTAGATTTTAACACAGAGATGCTGCAGCCATTCTGGACAATGATCCAAGGTTCCAGGAGCTGAAGTCCAAAACATCTGGAGGGCCAAAGGTTGGGAATTACAGGCATCCCTCCTAATTCACGGGGGATCCATTCTGGACCACCACCACCCCAAATCTGGAAAAATGCAAATATTCAAGTTGCCATTGGTTACAATGGCTGTACACTCTTGCGTGCGGCTCTGTGCACGCCTCAAACACATGCACTATTTTATCCCTCTCCACTTGCCATCCACGAATGACCAAGACCATGGGCTCCAAGTCAGTGAATGGGGAGGGATGAGTGTATTGTGCTACAGCATTTTGCAAGAGCCACCATGGATCTGGAGACCAGGGTTAAAATCCCTGCTCAGCCATGGAAACCTACTGGGTGAACTTGGGCAAGTCACACTGTCTCAGCCTCAGAGAGGGCAAAGGCAAACCCCATCTGAACAAGAAAACCCCATGTTAGACTGACCACAACTCAGAAATAACTTGAACACACACAACAACAAATTCACTTTTTCATTTCTAACATCCGGCACCTAGAAAGAGTGAAGTATGTCATTATTAAGATTGAAAAATACAACTGGACAAGAACGGAAGGCAATGCAACACAGTTTGCTAGTACCATAGGACCTGATGGTCTTGTACAATTATCAAATATGCTTTCATGTCAACTTAGGACAGCAAGCTATTTGAATGTTCTGGTCCAGACTGCCAGTTAAATAGCAAATGTGACCACAGATAAGCTTAGGAAGTGTTGTCTAGGCTTGCTTCAGAGACCAACTGCTTTATGTTCCTGGTTGAGGTACTTTGTTATCCCAGGATAATCTCCATGTAAAGTTCAGCAGCATGGCTCTTTGCTATTGTCTTCAGCTAGTTCAAACAGATGTGAATTTCTCCCATTTAAACCCTGGCAGCTGTTTGGCCCCTCATTTCATGCTGACTGCTTCTATTCTCTTGATTCCTAAACAGGTGTTCTGGGTAACGAGGATGAACATATCTTTTTCCACATACTCCATTTATTTTTTAGTATTACAAAATTTCTGTCTTATCAGCACATGAGAATGTTTTTAAAAGCCTTGCTATAATTCTCAGCAAATCACAGAAAGCTAGAATATGAGAAGAGCCTTGCTAGAACAGACCAAAAGCCTATGTAATCCAGAATTTGATTCACACAGTGCCCACTCTTTCAAGTATAGTAAAGATGAGGCCTAGGGCTGCAAGTGGTCCTCAGCCCCTACTTTCATAAAAGTGGACCATTTTTCAGGTGACTTTTCCACAACTGTCCAAAATGCAATGGTTTTCTTCACCCCCACTTCAGAATGCCCAGATATTTAAAAAGATGTCCCCAAATCATCTGAAAATGGCAAGCAGAAGGGATGCACACATCACTTTTAATATGTCCAAGGGACAAGTCACAGGAGTGAATATTTGCCCCTCTCCTCATGTAGTTTCCATCCCCTGATTTAAATATATATAAATAGATGCCGCTTTAGTGGAAAGGTAACAGTGTTCAGTGTAGTCATGCTGGCCATATGATCACCGTAGTAGTGTTCAGACAACGCTGGCTCTTTGGCTTAGTAATGGAGATGAGCACCACCCCTTCAATCAGTGGTGACTAGACATTCATGTAATGGGGAAACCTTTAGCTTTTTAAGTAATTGTAAAGTTTGCCATGAATGTGTGTTGAGCAAAGACGCCCAACAGTTCATTACTGATGTCAGAACAATACCCTTTAAGAGAAACTGAATCACCGAGATATTCTCATAGGGACTTTAAGTCTTTAATTCTTGATACAGTTCTGTTATCATCCAAGAGTTGCTCCAGCACAGCAAAATAATTATTTGTGTCTTTTCATTCTTCACCACAGTGACTCTGCAAGCATTTTTAAAAAACTCAAAACATTAGCCACGCTATGCAGACACACAGTCACTGCAAGGATTCAAGTCAATATCAGTCCATTCCTTTTACTCACTGACTCTTGTGTCCATGGCAACAATATCCACACAATACCCCTGATATATCAAACATGCATTTGTAAGAGTTTACCTCCCTCTCCCCACCCTTTGATCAGAAAAGATTTCAGCTTGGACGTTGGCTTGGATGCCAACTGGTTTAAAAAGCATTGTGGCATAAGTTCTAAATAACATACCCAAGGAGGAAATTGATATTTTAAAGGGGAGAAATGGATCTAGGAATTAAACTGAGACGTAAAGTATAGCATCATCACAAGTAATGTCAGGCCAGAACAACTGAGAGCCTCCAAATTGAAACCCACTGGCCAGTTAGCTAGGAGGAAGCTATGTGCCTCAGACCTGAATGTTAGAAGCAGGGCAGGAGTAGCAAGATGTTAGGGGATAGCTGTTAGCCTGCTGTCCTCAAGTACAGTGAAATGTATTATCTTCTTGCCAGTTTAAATAAGAGTGAGGACATCATCACTCAAGCCTTAGTTTTGATGCAATCATATTTATTAAAAGAAAACGGAAACATTAGGAGCATTCATTATCACACATCTCTGCAATAGTGTGACTGGGATGTTTTTGCCATTGTCAGTCTCTAGCACTGTCTTTCTCATTCCTCCTTAACCCAGCCTTCCTGCCCTATGTCTTATCCAACATGCCTTTCAGGGAAAGATTATTTTTGTTTTTAATGCTAATTAGTTTATTTTTAATGCTGGGATTAAGCTAATGGAATTTAATCTAATTTAATTTAAAAGGAAAAAAGGGGGGAACTGGTGAGGGGGAGGAACAGGGGGAAAGAAGGAGACACTGACACAATGTGACTGCCAATATTGGAACTGCTATAGAAGGAACATATCACATTATGGGGTAATGAAAAAGCAATGTGATTGGGAACTTATTGATGGGTTTTCCCTATCAGTGAAAAGGGATATTATAACAACACTTCAAATGCACAACAATGACAAGACAGAGGCAACATTGTGTGATAAGTATTGCCAAAGACACCATTCTCCAACTTTACATGTGGTTTAAAAGCCTAGTGTGATAATGTCTCCAGTTACCAGTCTGTCGGTTTCTGTAGGTGCAATGAAGTAGACACCACTATGCCATCCTTTACTTCAAGCAGCAAAAACATTTTGCCTTAGCCTTGCTAGCAATGTAGTGTGGCCCATGTGATGTTTAGCAGTTTTACAGAAGTTTTTCTTGATCACCTAGTGTCCTGCATTGTCAGAAGCAGAGTGAAAAAACAGAGATGCTTTATGTTAAAATCTAAAATGAAATCCAAAACATTTTTGACTCATAACCATTTTGCTTTCATTTGTGAGAGTTAAACTGGCCTGTTCAAAGACTATGGGCATCTGTAGACCGGCCCAAAGGGCCGGCCTGAAGGCACAGTTGGGGTGGGGCAGCCGCACACCAGCCGCCCCAACCCCATGCTGATGCCATCCTGACACCGCATGCCGTTACGCATGGTGTGCGGTTTCAGGACACCCTTCTGGTGCAGCATTCTGATGCACTGCACTAGAAAGGGTGAGGAAGAGCCACGTGCTGGATCTTAGGGTGGCCTTTTGCCACCCTAAAAGGAGTGGTATTTTGCTGCTCTTTTCGGGGCAGCAAAAGGGAGGATCGGGGCTGCGGCGTGGGGTAGCCACGGCCCCGATCTGCCTCTTCCTGGGGCGGCCCAGAGACACCTCTCTGAACACCCCCTATATTTGAAATCTGTAATACAGAGTATAATTGAATGACTAATTCAAAAACCATAATATAAATTGTTTGCTTAATTTTCCTTTGAACGTTTGGAGTTGTTTCATTTAGACTTCTGTCTATCCTCCAGAAAGGACAATATTTT